CAGGATGCATACAGCGCCTGCGCGATCCTCCAGGAGCAGCTGGAGTGTCACGCAGACGCTAGTATGCATGCGTGCACCGCGCACGTGCACGAGGACGCCGCCGGCCCCGTTCCAACCGAACCGGTTAGAACGGGGCGAGAAACCCACCCCTGATACAGTATTTGCAATTTGGTAGAAATCATTGAAATGGGGCTCTGAAAAGAACCTCAGATGGCGCATTTCTGTCTTAAATAATTGGGGGGGGGGGCACCTATCTCCTGGGGAAAAAATCCCAAGTATACCAATCCAATCACAGAGCTCTTTGAAAATCCTGTTCATAATCTTATCCAATGGATTTCTAAGGAATAGTTATCTTAATACAGCCTTCCTTATTTATTGCAATCTTGCATGATTTTTTTTTTGTCTTGAAAGTGTGTCAGAAATCATTAATTTGTTTCATCAAGATGCATCACTGTATCAGGTTTTTCATTCCTTTCAAGTGTGTATATTACAATACAGTTTTAATTTAGTTGTTTTAAACTTTAGTTTAAATTCTGTAAACTATACGATGGAAGCTTAAACAGAGAAGCAACACAGCCATTCAGTAACAAACAATCACATTATTGTGGAATTTAACAAGTCATATATAGATGCTCGTTATTTACCCATTGGTAAAGGAATAGTTGATTTTCAAAAATCAGGTCAAATCTGATACCTGTTCCTGAGCTTTCCTAGATAATGGTGCATAATCTTGCAGCAGAGTTGCCATGGTAAAATACGTAGTGGACAGTTCCCAGTTGACAGAATCCCAAACAGCTGAATGGATTTCTCTTTTATTCAATGATCGTAAGGCCTTCAGATAATAATCAACAGCCTGTAAGATTTAATTGAGACATTTACGGAAACCAGTATTAGTAATATTATTGCAAGTCTCACAAAGGGCGGTCAATAGTGCTGGCTGATTTGTAACGCTAAGTATAAATACAATTATATTTAGAGGACTGTTGTCCAGAGTTTTTTGATGTGGAAATCTCCAGATATAAAGGACTATAGAATTCCTAGCCTTTGGGAATACTGATTGGGAATTTGGGATATCTGAGTATATCAAAGAGTCACAAGTTACGGAATATTACTTTGCTTTTAAATCTCTCTATACATGCTGGATCCTGAAAATATTTTCACAATTTATCGAGTTTTCAAATATTAATCAATGAAAGATTCAGTGTGAAATCTTGTATATCCAAAGCAATTGTCTTTTTATGATCACAAATCAAGATCTTATACCCAAAGTGTTCATTACGCTTAAAAAAAAAAACTATGTTCTATAGTTCCCTTGGTACTTTTTTCTATTAAGGAAAGAATGTGGAAAAAGACAAAGTAAAGAACTATTTGGGCTTCCATAACATATTTATCTAATGTTACAATGCGAAGCCCAAATGTGAGTAGTTACTAATATAAATACTCCAGTGGAAAAACAATCTGAATCAAGAACACTAAAAGCTGCCTCTCCATATTTTATTAAAAACCTATTAAAATGTTTTAAGCAGTTGTAAGTTTGAAAGAATGATTTTAAACAATATTGCCAGGATAAAATTTATTTATTTATTTATTTATTTATTTATTTATTTATTTATTTATTTATTTATTTATTTATTTA